TACAATGATGGGAAGACAGCTGAAGCAGCATCAGATCCAGTGTTCTGATCATGTACATTTTTAATATTGTATCCTGATTCTACTCTATTTCTGTTAAACATAAAAGCAAACTTTCAGGGACTGTAAACCAGGCAACCAAGATAAAAGGCAAAGTTATTCTTTCAGAACTCTACAGAAGGGAAATTGAAAGGAAAGCCTTTCATATTGATATGGATCCATTACATCTTCTCCATGCTTCTTTTCAATGGCTCCCATCTGGGAAACAGTTTGAGGCACGCTTGGTTAAAAAGAGTTGGTATAAGAAAATGTTTATCCCAACTGCTTTTAGTATCTTAAATAGTTTATGTATAAACTAAACTTAAAGGAGTTTATGTGTATAAGCCTTTGTCAAAAAAAAATTTCTGTCCTTCTAGAAGCCTTTTTTATTTTAATTTTTTTAATTACCAATATTATCTCATATAAGACTTATCAAATGCATTTTAAAATAGTTTTAACATCACACTTCAAAACATGTCAACTTTCCAAAAATATTTCATGTCAGAAGAATTATTGCAGAGTTGGAATATGAACACACATGGTAAACAGAAATGTGGCAGGTTGAAATAGATGACAAGATGATATACTATAGAGTCCGTAACTGTGATGAAGGAAATTGTGGTAGATGACAGATGACCAGAGCAACACACAGGTAATCAGGGTAAGTCGCAGATAGCTTGAACTCACAAAGGGATACAGACTGAAGTCACAGAAGATAAGTTGCACAGGAGTTTCAAGAGAACAGGTAAGGAGTCCTTTCTTAAATGAGACCAGACAAAGTGGGAATCTGAGGTGTGTGCCTTTTATCTGTGTGATAATGAGGTGATTATTGATGACATGTGCAGAAGAGCATGGTGGGTGACCTCTTCCTTGAGGTGCAGGGCAATCTGGATGAGAATCGTGGAAATCAGTGAGGAGAGTTGGGTCTAGAATGTCATCTCTTGGAACCCATGAGCATTCTTCTGGGCTGTATCCTTCCCAGTCACCTGAGTATTCTAGACGGCCACCATGGCATCGGAAGTCCAAGACCTCTCGGACTGTATAGATGGTACCATCCTCCTGGACTAAAGTAAGTGGGGTTCCTCTGTAGGGCCAGCCTCAGTAGGAGAAACAGAAATTGGTGAATCGTTGGGTTTAAGCAGTGACACATGAAAAGAAGAGTGAATCTGATGAATGATGGTGAAGGTGTCAATGTATTTGGGATTCAATTTTCTGCAGGGCAGGCGCAACTTGATGTCTCGAGGGCATAACGTTTTGACCGGACTGAAAGACTGGAGTATTGGCCCTCCTTGTGTCAGCTTGTACCCTCTGACAGCACTCTGCAGATGATGGTGATCGATCGCTGGAACATCCGAAGGTTCCCCCGACGCCAGGAACAGTGGAGGCTCCCTGCAAATACGCCTTTACGGGCCCACTAAGGGCTAGCCTAAGGGCCCCCAGCGGGCTGCCAGTGCAGGGCATCTGAGATTTTGCTCATTGGCAAAATGTTGGCCCCTTAGTGCTGGCCCTGCACGGGCAACCCTCACTTAGCCCACACTATTAATTTACAACAGGGGTGCCCAACCTTGTCCTGATCAAACACACCTGAACCAACTAATTAGAATCTGAAGGAGCACTTGATAATTACAGACAGGTTTTTTTTAATTAGGTTTGGAACTGAACTCTGTAGGAAGGTAGATCTCCAGGAACAGGATGCACCCCTGATCTATAACAATACATCTGTTTCACTTTAAATACTTTTCAGCTACTATAACTTAAGTCTTTGGGAAAAACGGTTATTAGACATCTGAAATGGATGCGGACAACACATAACTAATGTCTATATTGTCAAAAATGTACAGTAGTCAAAGGGATTTCAAATCAATGGATTTATTAAATACAAAACATTAAATTCAGGTTAATACAGATATAGCCTAGTCAAAAATGTAAATACACAAAAGTACAAAAACAAAGCAACGTAAGATTTCATCATTTGACAGTTTGCGAAAGTCTTCTGTAGTACATCAATGTCCAAACACTGTCCAGAGCTTTAGTCGGCTGATAGCAAATGAATAATCCAACCTCTTGTAATGATAACACGCCACAGCTCTCAAACACTAGTGTCTTCCTAAACAGGAACAATCAAAAATAGCCCAGACTATGGTCTCACGTCAAAAAGAACTTTAAATCCATATTCAAACTGGACCATGATGTGATAACCTCATCAATAAAGAGTCCTTCTAAAATGCATACAAATACACTCTTTGGATGAGTTTTACTCTGAAGATGATTCTGATGTCCAATCTGTTCTTCATGTTTCAGTTGACATAACAGCAGCAACCTTTTCCAGAGTAGCAGCTCCTGTATTGCTGGATGAGTCACCAATATCAGAATCAGAGAGGACTGCACTCTGTGCATTGTTGTTGGAACACAATGGCATCTTCATCTCCTCTGAGCAGAATGCTGGTAAAAGCACACTGGTAAAACTTTATATCAGAATAAGTGAGCCGAACCCTATTAAACAGCTTGCATATTGTGCATCCAACTGTCCTTCCCGAACTGGTATCAAGGAGAGCTCTAGCCCCTGGTGTCACCAGTTGTTACAGTTATAAAGAAATGTGGTGGCTGGCATCCAGACACTTGAACAGTGTGACTGTAAAAGACTCTCAGCCTCAGTTGCGATCCATCGAAGTACTCCATGATTTGATCATTCATTTGTCGGTTCTCATCATGTGCTTAATGTGGAATGTAAAATGTTCCTTGCAAGGGCTCTCCATGATTATTATTAAAAAGGGTTTGGGTTAATCTCTTTGGACTTCTTACATCTTATTAATACAACAATCTATGTGATAATCATATAGTAATAATATTAATGTAGTTGTCACAGTCAGGTGTGCTAGAGATCAGGCAGGAAGATGAAGAATGCAATAATATTGAATAACTCCACGGCAGGCAGGCACACAGGATAACATTCACAATAACCGACAAACTAGAACACAATCTACAGGAACTGATATAGGGCAGATAACGAGGGCAGACAGGTGAGCACAATGAGGTGATTAACTAATAATGAGAACAGGAACAACCAAATATGGACGCAGAGGGAGAAACCACAATCAACAGTCCACAGGGGTGTGACTGCAGTGTTTGCTAACATGTCTATTTGCTAAAAAACGATCTATCTATCTATCTATCTATCTATCTAGAGTTGTGTTCAAAAGTATTTATACGATTCATATGATCAAAGAAGGCTGTGAAAATTAATCTGTATTATCAATCCTTTAGATATTTTATTTAAAAAATGTACTAAAATCTAACCTTTCATTGGAGAATACACATTGCATCTCTAATACACATTGGTCACAATTAATCATACCCTTTTATCCAATTCTTTTTTTGCAACCTACTTTTGCCAAGAGAACAGCTCTGAGTCAGATTCACAGCTGCATGTTGATGCTTCTCCTCTTCAGTTCACCACACTGATTTTCTATAGGGTTCAGCTCAGGGAACTGGGTTGGCCAGGGCAGAAGCTTGCTTTTGTTATCAGTGACCCATTTTTGTTTTGATTTAATGTTTGTTTGTGGATCATATTCCTGTTGGAAAATCCAACCATGGCCCATTATAAGATTTCTAGCATGGACAGTCAGTTTTAAATTTTTTTATCCATTGATATTTTATAGAATCCATTATGTCATCTATCTGAACAAGATATCCAGGATCTCTGGCAGAAAAATAGGCCCACAACATTAAAGATCCAGCAGTATATTTCATTGTACACATGGCGTACTTTTTTATCCCTGTGTGCACCAAACCCATCTTGAGTGTTTGCTGCTAAAAAGCAAATTTTTTTTTTAGTTTCGTCTGACCATTGAACCCAGTCCCGTTTAAAGTTCCAGCTGAGTCTAGCAAATAAATATGCTGGAGTTTGTTTTTGGAAGAGAGTTTTCTTTTCTAGTTTTTTTCTTGAAACCCTCCCAAACAACATTGTTTTTTTGTTGTTGTTTTTTTAGGCTTTCTGACCCCAAGACTCAACTATTTTCCGCAGTTCTCCAGCTGGGATCCTCTCAAACTCTCCTCCTCACCATGCATTAGGACAATATAGACACACATCCTCTTACCATATTAGAGACAAATATTTATTTCATAATGGGATTTTCCCCCACTTGTTTTACTTTAATTAAAGGTTAGATTTTTTTTTTTTTTTGGAATTAAAGATCAAGTGGATAAACAATGCGGATTTATTTTCACAGCCTTCTTTGATCATATTTACCAAGGGAATTAATAATTTTGAGCACAACTGTATCTATCTATCTGTCTATCTATCTATCTATCTATATACACACACACACACACACACATTACCGTATTAGAGACAAATATTTATTTCATAATGGGATTTTCCCCCACTTGTTTTACTTTAATTAAAGGTTAGATTTTTTTTTTTTTTTTGGAATTAAAGATCAAGTGGATAAACAATGCGGATTTATTTTCACAGCCTTCTTTGATCATATTTACCAAGGGAATTAATAATTTTGAGCACAACTGTATCTATCTATCTGTCTATCTATCTATCTATCTATATACACACACACACACACACACAATTAATTTTGTGTTTAATAATATATTTTTATGGTATTTTTATTTTACTTTTGGCATTATAAATTGAAACAGTGGAGCAAACTTAATACTTGAATCAGTATTGCTACAGAATATATTCTAATTGAAGAAAATATGTCATGTTTAGAACATTAAATGAATGTGATCCAATCAATGCAAAATGAACTGTTTCAGTGTCAGCTGAACGGACAACTATTGCTTTTTGGGTAAAAGATTATGATGTAGATGTGAAGGTCAAGTGAAGGTGTCAGAGCAAAAGAACCACAGTGTTTATTCCAAAACAAAAGCAGTATTTTGAATCTGTTCTTTGCATTAAAACAAATGAGAATTTATTAATCAGACATCATATTGAAAGTTATACATGTGTAGATATGCACGGTGTTGTGGACAGAGAAATATTTTATGGGCAGAGAGAACAAAGGAAACGTTTGAAATCACAATATACAATTCTTGCACTACTGAAATCATAACGTACCATACAACAAGATCAACTTTAAGTAACTGTTGCATACTTAATATCGTATTTTATACTATTTATTTGTTGTGTAATGTACGGTGTACACTGTGTAGTAGGTCATTTCAAACACAGTTTTTGTTCTCTCTATTTTAATCAGTTGTATAGAGCAGGAACCCAGTGAAAGTATTGTAGTGGTTGTTATTGTCACACAGAAAGCAGCCGGCTGGAAGAGCAACATCCACCCTGTCCCCTGCATGCAGCTGAACAGCTAGCACAGCACTAGCGCTGTCCTCCTGGTCTTGAAGGTTGTTCTCACTTGGTGATGCAATAGTGCGCCCATTCAGTCGGAGTCGAGCACAAGCAGCCAACGTGGCTCCAGGAGCGCCAGCATCACTATAAACTGTTAGAGCCAGGCTGTAGATGCCAGAACGTGGTGCTACAAAGGCACCAGTGTCAGTGCTATAGCCATCTCCCAAGTTAACAAATACACTGCTATACTTCACCACAGAGTCTTCACGATTTGGGCCGATACAGAGGCGTGTGTCAGTAAGAGCCACAGAGAAGGCACTGCGACTGGCTGTGCAAACATAAGAAAAGGGAAACAGACTTGTTAAGACTTTCTGAAAAACATAGCAGTGCTAAGAAGATAGTAGAACAAAGTTAACATTTTAAGTAGGTTTCATGTTTTAGACTTTTTTAATAGTTAATTAAATCTACATTGCAGCCATTTTCTCATTGTTATGCCACTCAATATGTGTCCTGTTTTCTGTTGACTGTGTGAGAGAGTTAACACACCATCTTTGCTCTATAAATGATGGCTATAGATGGTTAAAGAGATATAACAAGTAAAATACTAATCATAATTTAATATGCAAATAGATTAAATGAATAAGACCAATTGCAGTTTAGTATGTAAATTATGATTCCATCACTGTCGGCTACATTATGAATATTCTAAATATTCTGAACATTCTAATAACAAATGCTATCAGGTAATTTTGAAACCTAAATTTGATAAAAGGTATAAAGAAACAGGCAAACAAGATTGGTACAAATGGTTGTCTCACCACGAATATTGTTTAACACTGAATGAGCTCTCTCCAGGTTCCTCTGTAGCTCATTTAAGGTCATGTTGAAAAACATCTCGAGCTTCCAGATCTGCTTCTTCATCAGGCAGCACCCACATGACACCACATCAGTCAGACATGCTTCAGAGGCAAAGAGACAAGCATCATAATTGCACACTACCCTGATGCAAGAATTGTCGTTGCCGTTTTATTAAATATTATTATTTTTTAAAGTCACCGTTCTCATTGGCGTCAACTTGGCTGTCGTTTCCACCACTCCAGGAAAAAACCCTGTCTTCTCCAAATGCACATCCCAAGAGGCTTATGATTACAAGGGCTAAAACACGTAAAAGAAAGTTTAAAAACACATTTATATACATGTATATACAGGTTGAAGGCTTTGATTGAATTTAAACACATTTATAGTCATCTCACCCCTCATTTCTGCTGATGTCTTTTGACTGTAGTCTGAGGAAGATGTGTTAACATCAACTCGAGTAATCCTGGCTATAAAGGCTAAGCAGACCCCACCTCTTGCCTTTCAGTAGAAATGGTATGGGCAGGGCCTTTTGTGCGTGTTTTTATCATGCAATAAAATCCTGAATATAGGGCAAGTATTGTTTTTCAGCTAAAGAATATCATGTTATTCCCATGGTTGTTTTCTGTAAGGTACCACTGACTCTTATCATTCTTCATCTTGGAGCTGAGAGTTGAGCTATAACAACAACAAAATGCAAAATGCCCAAATGATCACTTCCAGTTTGAGTATAAAATAATTAATTTTGACTTCTCATCTAAGGTAAATGATAAATACTATTTGGCAAGGCACCTAAATGACAGTTGTAACAGGCAGTTGACAGAAAATTCAAGTTTGATACTTCCTCAAAAAAATTGCAATAAAACAAATAGATCTTTTTTTTTTAGCTTACTTTAAGACATAAACATCTACTGTTATGCTTGGCTAAATTTTTTGCTGTTTTGTTGCTGCATGCATGGTTCTGAGTTTGGTGTTTGGAGCTCCGCAAAGTTTTATTTTTACGGCCAGTTCACACAAGAACAGTAACTATAACGATAATAACAACTATATTCGCATAAATCTATAGAAGCCCATAAAACTGTATGGTAAAAAGTCGTGAAATTTTGCACACAGATGGGACATTCTGAACATTAACCATACCAAGTTTGGGTTCTCTATTTCAAACCTTCAAACATCACCAACAGCTCAAAACTGCATGTTTACGCAAATTATTAATTTTTTTAACCTTAAGGGCTAGAAACAATTTTTTGCATCTGAATCCTTGGCTCACACTGAGTCAAGTGCAGCCTGATGTCATTTTCCAATTTTCCATGATGAATTTTCTGTAAAACTAAATTTTAAACTCCTACTTGACCATTGGTCTAATAAAAAAAATAAATAAAAAAAAAGTCAGATCAAGGGCACACCCATAAAAGAAGTAAATATCCATCTCATCCAGTGCTCTTTTTTCTGTCTTAAAATATCCTCTGCAAACGATTCAGTGCATGAATCAACCATTCCAACGAATCAAACAGAAATGCAAACAAATTAAATTTTGTGCAAACTGACAAATTAGATAAAAAAAGTGATTAATTTGCAAAACAGGCATCGCTAGTTCTGAATTTAAACAGCTAATAGAAAATACACATTAAACAATTGATGAAATATTGTCAAGGAAAATTATTCTGTCTGTATCGTGATCTCTATCTTTAGGATTTATCTGTAATATTTTACTGGGGGAAATCCTGACGTTACTAAAAAGTTTAATTCATGCTAACAAAATACATACTAATTTAAATATCCTTAAATTTTAAAGGGGTCATATGATGCGATTTCAAGTTTTTTCTCTTTGGAGTTTTACAAGCTGTTCGTGAATAGATAAGATCCCTAAAGTTGCAAAGACTAAAGTCTCAAACCCAAAGAGATATTCTTTATAAAAGTTAAGACTCGTCCACACCTACCTAAAACGACTCGTTCTAACACGCCCCCACATATCTACGTCACTGTGTGGGAAGATTTGAATAACGCCGCCCAAATGTTCACGCAAAGAAAGAAGGAGTAACTTTTATTCTCGCTGTAGTATTGTTGCCTCTGCCTCCATGTCGTGGAGACGCTGCGTGTTTCGTTGTGAAAAGCAAAACTACTTTGTTTGGTCTTTCAAAAGAGGACACAACTAGAAATCAGTGGTTAATAAGTTGTATTTACAACACTGCTCCAGAACACTTCAACCCAAATATTCAGATGTGTGCAGCGCATTTTACAGAGGACGAGGATGAGGATGAGGATGAGGATGAGGACTGTTTCCTGGGAGAGTAGCCTACAATGCCGGTGTTCCGGTGAATTCAGTTCCCCTGTTTCCCCTTCGGCGCGCATGCTGACCACAGTCTATGATGCTGACAAATATTGCTGACTCACAGCCTGAAAGTATGTTTTCATATTTAAAGAATTTGCCACTGATGATTCAAACGCAAGTTTTGGGCAGTGTAGAGTAGCACTTGTTTTTTGTCATTTCGCCGATCACAAATGCAGACATGGTTTTATGTTTACGCGGCGCAATGCAATGCAACATGTAAAAAGACAGTATAAGTCATTATAATCAGTAATTATGTCCCCACTGGATGCAACAAATGCCTCGTTTGTAATGGGTTTTAATGTTTTTGTCTCGTCGCGCCGGCCGGACAGGGCATCACAGTATGGTGAGGGGCGTAACATTTCCGTCACACGCTTGAGGTATTCGGCCAATCACAACACACTGGATAGCTGGCCAATCAGAGCACACCTCGCTTTTCAGACGGATGAGCTTTGTAAAAATCGACGCGTTTCAGAAAGGCTGGGCATAGAGGAGAAACAATAATGTACAGTATGTGGAAAATAATGTGATTTTTTAAACTTAAACCGCATAAACACATTTCAAAATAATGTTCTTTTTTAGCAACGTCATATGACCCCTTTAACATCTTTCTTGTAAGTTGGAATTTGTCAGCTAATGTTGTTTTTTACATATCTATTTCCAACCAAACTGCTATGTCTGCCAGATGCTGGAGGTTGACATCAAACCAACATTGGGTTTTGACGTTATGGCAAACAGGGTGGGGCCGAAAGCCATGGAAATGGTGCGAGGCTGGGAACACAGGTGCTAATTAGCCACACCAGTCTTGAGTTCCATGGAGGAGCTCCAAAAGAACATGAAGAGGAGTGATGACAGTGGAGTGGGAGAAAGGACCAGGCCTTTGCTTTGTGTTGGCAATTGGCCATGAGGTGGCCATTTATTTTTGAGTTGTTTAAAGTTTACATTTATGTTGAGCCAGTACCCACATCATTCTTCCCATATCTAAACATTTACATGTACATTTAGTCATTTAGCAGATGCTTTTATCCAAAGCGACTTACAAATGCTTCAAAACTAACAAAAGAGCAACAATATATAAGTGCAAATGACAAGTCTTGGTGAGCCTAACGCAGTACACGTAGCAAGGTATATACTGTCAAGCTGATTTTCATTTTCAACCAAAATTCTATGTCTGTCCAACATCTTTCTGATGTCCAGTCCCTGCTGCGATCATTCAGATTTACCTTCAGGTAACATGAAGGAATAAAAGAGCTCTGGCAATGAGAAAAATAGGGTTAGCATTAACACTGTACATTAGCGCTAGCTAGTCAGTCTTGATAGTTAATAGGTTGTTGGTTTTAGCGGCAGCCTTTGTGTTTATCAACTAGCTGATGATATGATTATATATATCGTGCAGACGATATAAATTGTAAATTGATTGAACTTTTTCACCATAGTTTATTATGTGGTTTGGAAAAATAGCTGCACAACATTTAGTGGGCAGGAGTTATTGTTAGAGTGATAAAGAAGCATGGACTAATGAGGAAATAAAGAGCAGGACATGTACTCCCTGAGGTGTTAAAGTGCAGGCTGATTACACCACGTCTAGCATGATGGAACTTTCTCTATGACAGTCTCAACCAAGTGAACACTCAGAGAGAAAAGAAATTTGGAGATATCATGGCGAAATTTGCACCTACCTTCCTTCAGGGATGCTGAACTGGAGGAGCGTGAGAGTCTTGAGGCCCCTTGCAGTTGCTATACCCACAATTGGCAGGGGAAAAGGAATCCACAATCTAATGCTCCATGTCACCAGCAGACTTTGGGCTTGTCACTGAAATCAAATCAAGTTCAACACACGCTGATGGAGAAAAGTAAGAATTTTTTGTCTTTACCGAAGATGTTGAAGTCTCTGGCAAGTCTACACACAGTAAAGCTGAGCTGGAGACACTGCACTTTCTAGAAGATCACATAAAGGTGTTGGTCATCTTGGACAAGTTCAACACAATCATACCCCCCCCAACTTACTCCACTAGAGTGCCTGTTTTCCTATGCAGGTTTAATCAGTAGTTTGATCAGGCAACCGTCTTCCACTGCTCCATGGTTTAATTCTGATGTTCATATGCCCATATTATGCACCTTTGGCAGTGGACAGGGGTCATCATGAGCACTATGACCGCTCTGTGGCTACACAGCCATGTACAAAGCACGCTGTGATGCACTGTGTTCTGATACCTTTCTGTCTGGGCCAGCATAACATTTTTCAGCAATTTGAGCTACAGTAGCTCTTTTGTGTAATTGGCCTCTGCTCCGGGCCTCATTTATAAAGCGTGCATACGCACAAGTTTGATCTCAGAGTGTGCGTACGCTTAAAGCCACGGGAACGTTCATATTTATAAACACAGTCTTTGTGTGGAAAAGTGCTTAGAGCCACGTCAGGCTCTGAGCAGACGTACACACTTTTCCTTGCGTCAAATTGGAGCACTGCAGGTATTTGGAAATATAAGCAGCAGCCATGATGATGATGATAATAATAATAATAATAGGCCTAGTAGAATTAGGAATGTACATTTCGGTTAATTTTCCTGACAGATATCAGACGCTGGATAATTGCTTAACTGTAAACAGACAAGATTAGAATGTTAAATAAAAAATAAATTAGATAAAAAAATAAATATATGAATGTCTGAGGCCCGTTAATAATATATGTGCAAATATAACCATAAACAGAACATGAGTTTTGACATGTCATCATGCATCTGCTGCACTTTTGTGAACGGAAAAACAGAATAAAATTGCATATAATTAAATAAATAAGCTTACACTAAATATGTTTCACTTAAATAAAATAATAAAAAAACTGTGAGACAAGTAAGCTATACTGAGTTTTGGTTTGTTTCTGTGATTGGCTTCATAAATTGGCTCCCAAAAATCGTCCCCACACGAACCTCTACCTCCGCTAGCAGGACCCCAACTTTGGCCTCACTAAAGTTCTTTTTCTTGCCACTCGCCATTCTTAAACAACGATAGGCCTAGTAGAATTAGGAATGTACATTTCGGTTAATTTTCCTGACAGATATCAGACGCTGGATAATTGCTTAACTGTAAACAGACAAGATTAGAATGTTAAATAAAAAATTAATTAGATAAAAAAATA